ACTGGCGGCCCCCCCCCCCCCTCGCCCGCCGCCGTACATTTCTGAAGACAATACAAAGATCTTTCTTTAATGCTTGCTTCTGAGGATAAACCCCAGTAAAATGAGGCATTGATCAGTACTGGGTGGGAAAGCCCTACCCCATAAAACATTGTGTTATGCCTCAAATAACCTTTCGGTTCCCAAAGACAGCCGTGTGCAAATGAAATAGAGGTAGTAACAAGGGAGACCCCTGGGTCAAGTTATCTGGGTTTGAATCCCAACTCCAACACTTACTAGCTGGGGAACCTGTGCAAATCTTATCCTGTTCGTACCTCTTCTATAACGGGAATAATAATCACCATCCAACAACTTGTATGAAATAAGTAAGAAGTGCTTTATTTGGTTCCACACTGTTAGTAACGTTTGTAATTACGCTGTGTTGTTGCACTGTTAATACTGTATGGACACACTTAAGCTGAGGAAAAATCTTTTGACACTTTTTTTTTTTGGAGAGGTTTTTGCTATAGGGTGCATGCGCTCACCAGACAGACAGACAGAGACAGAGAGATAGAAAGTGAGAAATCACCCCCCAGGGGGAATGGCCACGCCGCAGTCCCCTCTCCTCCATTCTCCTCTCAGCATCTTAGGCACACACGCACATGCGCCCGGCATGAGTTTAAACCACCGGGTCCGGGACGCGAACCGCGGTCGACTATGTGGGAGTCCAGTGACATAGCCATTACACTAACTGCTGGTCCCAAAACTTTTGACACTTTAACACTGTTAAAATAGTGTTTCATCTCAGCATGTGGTTTGTTTAATTTGTATGAATTTTAATCTCAGTGATTTTGTTTTCATGCTATCATTTGAGGAAAGCTATTTTATGTTCATGTAAACCATATTTTCTTCGTTTCAAGCACTTATAGAGTACCTACTATGTATGAGACATGGTCCTTGCACACAGAGGACTAATGGTCTAGTGTGTGTCTACATACCAAACACAATATAAGGCCTTGAATTAGGAGTGCTAGCTGAAATCAAAGCCCAGTGAGATTTAGCTTGGTCATATAGGCAAAGGCAATTAAGATCACCTGTGTTTTTTTTCCTACTTGAGAGAGGAGCATGCACCTACCAAAGAGACAGAGACGAGAAAGCTCCCCTTAATGGAGCATAGTCACGGGCTGCAATCCCTCTTCTCCCCTTTCTCCATTCTGTCTGGATTCAGAGTATAAGCACATTCGTGAATGCGCTCTCACACACACAGCCAACATGTTTCTCAAGCGACCCTGGCTGGGACTCAAACCGTGGTTGACTATGTGAGTTCATGCTCCCTTAATCACAAGGCCACTCACCCCACCTGTGTTTCTCATGAGAAAAAAAAAACAGATTTACTCTTCTCGTAATTGATATTTCAGCTGGACTGTATGAGGGGCTCAGTGTGAGGAAAG